GGAAATGGTGGGCAGCTCCAACACAGGAAAGCAAAGGGGCCCCTGCTGGTCCGTGGGCCCCAGGGCCCAGCCCCATTACTCCAAGCTCTCCCCTCCCTGGCTGGAGAAAGGTCATGAAGAAGTGTCAGGGGAGCAAGTCCCAGCAGCAGGAGAAGCAGCAGCAGCTGTTTCCTTCGCCAATAAATATACTTCATTACCAAGCTAGAAGAGAGGGGTGGGAAGAGGGATTGGGGTGGGAGGGAGGGAGAGAAGCTGCCACCTGTGTTGCTGGGATTAAAGCAATGAGGAGATAGTGCCAGACCCCCCACCACTATCCTCACCCCCGTCTTCTTAAAATTGTGAAAAAGCTTTTAACATGGCCTTCCTGTCTCCAGGGCTGCTCTGAAGCCTGACTGAGAGGAGGCACCTGGCAGAGACAGGGGTGGAAGGAGAGGGAGGGAGGAAGGGAGGGAGAAAAAGAAGGGAGGCTGCTTCTCCCCAGAGGCTGCAGCTGGAGGGCTGGAGCCAAGTAAGCACTGAGGGGAAGGAGGAGGGAGAGGGGAGGAAGGATAAACCAACTACCAGGAGCGGCTCCTGAGCTGAGAGCCAAGGGGGCAGAGAGAGGGGGGCTTGGTGAGAGGTGGGGTGACCGCTGCATCCAGTGTAAAGCTTGGGGCTGCTGAGGAGGGAGGGGACTGAGTTAGGGACTTTCCCATCTGAGTGGCTCAGGAGAGTCACCCTCCTCCCCCCAGAGCAGCAGGGGACAGAGAAAAGCCATCACTTCTTTGGTCTTTGTGGCGGCTCTGCATGTGGGGTGGAAGGGAGGGCAGAAAGGGCGAGAAGGGCCCTTAGCAGGGAGCCCCACCTTAGCAAAAGTAGGCCTGGCTGGGAGCTCTGGCAGAAAGGTCACAGTGAGGCCAGGAGCGCCTGAGAAAGGAGAGTGGCCGTAGTGTGGAAGGGCTGGCATGGGTGGGCAGGGTACGGTGTGGTGCCCCACCCTTGCCAGGGTCCTCAGGAAAGGCTGAGCCCCCAGAGGTGGCCAGTAAGAGCAGGCACAGTGGCCTGGCCTTACCCACTCCAGGGCTCCCCATTGTTTTTTCAGAACCTTCCCTGAAGACCACGGGGAAGCTAGCCTTGCCAGTCAGGGAGCAAGAGTGGCAACAGGTCAAGGCTAGCCCTTATGGACTGGGAATTCCAATCCCCTTCCTGTTGCCAACCAAAGGGTAGGGCAGTCCTTGAAGACAGCTTCAGCCTTGCCTCCACACCTGAGGCAGGCCAGAGCCCTCCAGGGACCTGAGAGGGGGAGGTGGGGGGCATAGGGAGGGGCTTTCCCTCCTGCTCTTTTGCTCAGGGCTGGGGTCAGTCAAGGGCAATCTGCCCAAAAGTCTGAAAGCCAGCAAAATGTAGCAACCCCCATCCCCAATGCCAAACTAACAAAGAAAACAGGGGAAAAGAAAAAATGGGGTAGGGGGAAGACAAACCAAAACAGAACCCCCTGACCTCCTGCCAGGGCAGAGGGTCCAGCCAGTAGCAGGGGCTGGGGACCAGGGCTAGGAGGGTCTAGCTGGGCCGGCACTGCACCTGGCCCTCGGAGCTGTCCTCATCATCAGAGGCCCCAGCACCCCCGCTGCTCAGGCCTGTGATCCGATAGCCCATGTTGAGCAGCATCACTTCCAACGGGTCTGCATTCATGCGCCGCTGGTTGGCCTGGGAAGCACCCTCCATGTCTTCTACAACTCTGCCTGTGAGGTCTTCACTCTGTGGGGGGAGGGACACATACATCTGGGATATATGTGTGGGACATACAGACTGAGCTATACATATGGAGGGGGATGTGCACACCAGATATCTGTGGGTTTATATCAGTTTGTCTATACCTGTACATGGGTAAAAGGAACATACACACTGGGATATGCACTGGGACACACACACCAGGACATACGTGAGGAGACACCCACATGGGAGGGAACAACACACTGGGATATGTGTGGGGGATGCACATGCTGGGATAGTGGGGGGAACACACACACCAGGGTATACATGGGGTGGTCTGCACCAGTAGATGATGGGGATATAGCACATCAGGACTCACACATAGGGGCCCACACATGGGCATGTGTGAGGGAGGACAGACACAACTACCCCACCCCCGTTTGCTGTTGCCATTCCCAATAGCCCTCCCTTTGCCCTTCTCTTCCTCCCCCCTGAAGGAAGGGCCCTGGGGCTCTCTACAATTTGAAGAAAATTGACTTTGGAATTAGATACACCACCTGCCTTCTGTTTTGCCAGCTGGGAAGAGGGAGGAGGTGGGGCAGAGGGCACTGGAAGCCTCAGGCTGGCCCACGTGGCTACCCACCCTGGAAGTGGAAGGGACCACACTGTTCTGAGTGACACCACACAGGCATCACTTCTTTAATCCTTAAAGCAACCTTCTGAAGAGGTGCTGTCACTCCCATGCCAGTGTGGAGATGATAAAAACCTGGGTCAGAGATGGTTAAGTTCCTGAGGCAGTGAGTGAAGGGACCAGGGTTCAAACTGAGGCCCACCAGACTCTAAAGCCTGAACACTTCCGCGTGACAGAGGGAGAGGCCTCTATACGGCGTCTGGGAACACACCACAGTGGTATATGAGGGGAAGGGTACCCCGGGAGCCTGAATGCCCATTCTCATGACATGCTGGAGCTGGTCTGGTTCCCTCTCTGCCCTGCCCTTGGATACTGTGTCCTGTATGTGAGACACATCTTCACAGCTTGCTCAAAACTATGGCCCTCAAAGGCAGGAGCCAACTCTTGGCTCTGGGACTTCTCACTGCATCTGGAACTGTCAGAACTCAATGGCTCCCACCTTCACATAGTCTTGGGCCCTCGAGGGAGAACTCACCCTAGCAGCTTCTACCCTCTGTGTGATGCATTTCCCTTCCCAACCCTCACAGGTTCAGCCAGAGGCCCAGCATAGGGTCCATCCCTACCCATGGACAGGGTCCATGTCTAGCTTCGGCCACCTTGTCTACACCCTCACCTCTGGCCGAGGATTCCACAGCCGTACAACAGGGTCGATGCCGCTGGTGGCCAGGAAGCAGTAGCTGGGGTGCGGCTGCAGGCAGTTGACGATGGACTCATCCCCCTGGAGTACGCGGACTAGGTTGGTGGTCTCCTTTTCCCAGATGAAGAAGGAGCCATCGTCAGAGCCACTGACGATGTACTGAGCATTGCTGGCGGGAGGGGCAAAGGGCAGGGAGATCAGGTGGGGTACTGCCCTACAGCCTCAAGGAGAGGCTGTGTGGCTTAGGGCAAGGGGGAGTAGGGAATTCTGTATCCGTTCAGCACCCCAAACTCTAGGGTCTTCACTTGACTCAGCACATGGTAGTTCTCTCCATACTGCAGAGCTCCAGTTACTGTTTAACTGTTCTCTTAAACTCAGGGTCAGGGACTGCCTGGGTCCCTCCAAGTTACTATCCCTCAGAGTACATCCTAAGCTTCTTGGGTGTCAGGATTGGGTCTTGTGTCTCTGGGAACGCCCTGGTCTAAGCATTCCTTCAGTAGTCCTAGCCTACTGGATCGAGATGCCCAAATCCTACATACACCGTGAACATTTAGGTGGATCTTGGTGGAGAGATTCTCAATCCATGTTCATGTGTCTTACCTACCAAAGAAAGTGCAACATCTACAAAGGAGGGTTGGGGATGATGGTATCTGGGACACAGGCTCTGCGTCAGTACCATGGGGCACATGATAGGTGTGCCAAGACTGCCAGCTTCTGAGGGCCCTTGCCTCATACCTCCAGAGGGAGACTCCAAGCACCCAGATAAAGAAACCAAGCTTCATACATGGAGACAGAGGGAGGAGGTGGGGAATGGAGGAATAGTCCAGGTACTGCACTAGATGCTCTTATGAATTATCTCATTAGTCCTGCTCACTATGGCTCCATGAGTGGGGGTTAGGGTTTCATTTTATACATGAAGAAACTGAGGCTGACAGAGGTGAAGCCATTTGCCCAAGTGTACAGAGGCAGAGCTGGGATTTGAGACTTTTCTAGAAAAAGTGTGCCCTCATGTCCCCCAACCTCCTGCTGCCCAACCAGGCTGTGCCCTGCTCCTCTTCAGGGCCTCGGACCTGCCAAAGAAATTGGCCTCCTTGATATCCGTGGTGGTGTTGCAGTGGCCACAGTAGCGGAACTGATAGTCGTAGCTTCGTTCCCGCAGCACCATCTCATCTTCTGAGATGGAATCCTTGCGGCTCGTGCTGCGGAGGCGGACTGGGCCGCCACCACCACCACCAGCTCCCTTCTTCTCCTCTGGGGGCAGAGAGCAAGGAAATGTAAGAGTCCTGTCTCTCTTTCCCCTCCCCCATCTGTCCCCTTCCCTTAGTCCTGTTTTCAGCCCAAGTACTAGCAATGTAGGCTACCTGCCCTCTACCCCTAACCTGGAAAACTGGGAATGACTGGGAGAGAAGCTTTTTTGGACCTAACCCTTCAGGATATTCAAGAGGTGACCTCTGATGCCAGGAAGGCATTGGCTCAGGTCCCTGAGGCCCCAAGGATACACAGACCCAAGGTCTGTTTCTATGGAGGTGAGAAGCACTACCAAGAAAGCTTGAAGGGGTGATTTTTCTAAATAGATCCATAGCTCCGAAGGCAGTGAGGTCCAAGCCCTTCCTTTCTGGAAGACAAGTTATCATGGATACCAAGTGAAGCACTGATGGGCTAAGGGCCTTGGGTTAAATCACACCAGTTTTCTCAGTGCCTTAAAAGTGCCTTGTTCCTGCCTGCTTCAGGGCCTTTGCATGTGCTGGTCCCTATGCCAGGAACTATTCACTTCCCATAGCTACACTCTGTATCTGGTCAACTCTTCTTTCTCATCCTTGAGATCTCAGCTTAAATGTCTCCCTCAAGAACCCCAGACTGCTGTCAAGCCCTCCCCCATACGCCTATACCATATCAGGTCGCCATGGCACTCCTCATGCTCTTAGTTTCTCCTTCATCCCTTGGTTCCTTCACTAGGCTGTAAACTCCATGACTACAGAAATCCCATCTCACTTGTTCACAGCTGTATTCCCAGGACCCAGCACAGTGCCTGGCACATGGTAGAAGCTTGATAACTTCGAACAAACGAATCACTGCATGGTTAGTAAATTGCAAAGGAGAGAGATAGGAGTCCATGTCTGCCTCCAGTGAGCTCACCTTTCATGTTTATAGCCCACACTACAATCACCCAGCTTTTTCTCCAAAGCTAACGAGGTGAGCTGGGCAGGACTTTGAATGTTCTCTGTGCGGTAAGGCAGCAGGTTCACAGAGGCTGCGCTTTACCAAGGTCATATGCTCACTACATGGCAGAGCTGATATTGGAACCTGAGGCTCCACACCCCGCACCCAAGGCATTTCTACTGCCCTCTGCTGCTGTCTGTTGCAAGGGTGCCAATGGGAACAAGCACAACCCCAGCTGCCCAAGGCCCTGTCTGTGAGAGGGTGAGTGTGTCCTGCAAGCCACATGGCCTGAGTGGGCTCAGCTTCCTCTTATCCTGATTCCCGGGCATCACACAGGTGCTCTAAACAGACTACTGCTAACCTTCATAGAAACTGAATGGGAAGTGCTATCCTTCCTCATTTTCAGATCAGGAAATTGAGTCTCAAAGAAACCAAATGAGTGTCTCAAGGTCACATGGTTTCTGAATCAGCCTCTGAACCCAGGACTCTCCAATCCCAGAACTATGTCCTCCCCAGAATGTCATGTAGCACCTCAAATAGAAAGAGTGAGGGCAGCCCTTCCTCAGTGCCCACTCACCACTATCATTTTTGGAGAAGAGGGCGGCAGTGATGTCACGGCCCAATGCATCACAGGCGCTGCTGTGGGCCTGCTCCGGGAACTTCCCTTTGAAGTCGTCCAGGCACTCCAGGGCCTCAGCCACGTACTTGAGCTCAAAGAGGCAGCGGGCCAGGCGGAAATGTGCCTTCAGATGGCATGGATTTAGGGAGATGGCCTTGAGGCAGTCCCTCAGGGCATCGTAGTGGTCACCATCCCTGGATAAGGTAGGAGAGTGTGGCTTGGAGGTGGGGCCACATGGCAAGCAAAGAGTTGTCCTCACTCAGTCCCTGCTTTCTGTGGCCACCCCAGCCCACCTCTGACAGTCTCAGAGCAATGGTACTTGGGGATGAACAGAGTCTTGGCTCAGCCCAGGTCTTGCTCCCCAGGAGACAGAGTATATTCAAGAGGCAAGCCAGGAACCTTGAGGTCTTGGGGGTGGGGTGGGAGGTGGGTGTGTAGCAAAACCCAGTGTTAGGCTGCCCTCTGCTGGATATAGCATGTAACTGCATACCCGTTCACCCCAGGCACCCGCAGCTCTGCAGCAGAAGGCCTGGCATCTTGCCCATCTCAGGCTCCCCAAGCCCTCCTTCTCTCTTCCTCCGTCCACCTCCTCAAATCCCCCTGACTGGCCTTCAAAGCCATGTCCGAGGCAGGGGGCCCTCAAAGACACTTCTGTGGTCTGGGGAAGCCAGAAGTGCCAGGCTGGAGACTTAGGGTCTGACCAGCAGGCAGCAAGCCCTCAGCCAGACCCCCCTCTGTCCTGGCTGACTGATCCACAGCATCTGTGGCCTCTACCTCCGGGGCTGGAGGATGGGGCCTGGCAGACTGGCAGAGTCAGCTCTCTGGAAGCTGATGGTGAAGGGGGGTGGCGGCTTGCACACCAGGAGCTCCAAATCGTCCCTGCTTACTTCTCCAATCTCCCAAAGCATGGGTGAAGGGAAGTGGAAATGTTTCTTTGTGGGGGAGTAAGTGGGGAGGGTCAAAGGAGAAGCCCCTCCTCCCACCCTGTGCTAGAATATAAGATACGCACTCACCCAGCACCAATAGACTGGTTCTCACCTCTCATCTGGACCCAGACATCACAGGAGCCACTTCTTTGGGAGCTGTTTTTCATCCTTCTGGGCTTAAGACCCAACTATGCCAAGCAGCACACCCAGAGCTGGTGGCCCCTCCACCAAAGCAAAGCTCACAACTCTCCTGAACAGGGCCAAAGCAGGCCTGACATGGGAAATGTCCTCCTGACCCTCCTCTCCTACAACACTTTGAGGGTGTACCCAGCCCTTGGAGCAGCCATGCTCAGACCAAGAAGAAGCAGCTCAGCCAGTGTGGGGGCAGGCAGGAGGCAGAGTGCTTCCATGGCATGGCCAGTGTCAGAACGAGTGGCTGTGATGAGGGAGCAGGCGCTGTTAGGAAACTCAATTACCGCCTGCAAGGTGCCCCTCAGAGCTCCTGGGGAGAGCCAGACCAGAGACCAGCCAGAAGCCAGAGGGTGACAGCTCCCACTGCATCCAGGAGCAGATGGCAGCCTTGGGGAGACTGGCCTGGGACAGAATGTGACATTCTAGGGGTCACTGGCAGGCATGTGAGAGAGAATGAGGAGAGAGCAGACTGGCCCCAGGGCTCACCCATCCAGACTCACTGCCAGATCAATCTCCCTGAAAGGACAGCCCTCAGCACATCCCTCTCCTGCTCAAAACTCAAAACTCTTCAGTAGCTGCCCATCATCCACTGAATCAAGGCCAAAACACTGCCACCGCTCCGCATTCCAAGTCCTTCCCAGGCCGGCCCCAGGCTACCTCACAGACTCATCTCCTGCCAGTCCCTTCCCGAACCCTCTGCTCCAGCCAAATGGATTTGTTGTTCTGCAAACAAGCTCTTCATTCAGTTCCCCACCCCCATGCCTTTGTTCACACCATTTCATCTCCCTGGGAATGTCCTTCCCCCACAGTCCCCTCCTCCTTTTCATCTCCTTGTCTAAGCCTGCCTACACTTAAAGCCCATGCAGCACCATATCTTCCGGATGCTTTCCTGATCGATCCCGAACTATAGTGACCCAACTTTTCTTTGACTGGTCAGCACTTCACCTGACCATTCAAAAAGATCTACTGCTTCCTGCCTCTTTGATGACAGACCATGTCCCTGTCTTTGTCCCCTGTCCAGAGGCTGGGGACTCCAGAGCACAAGAACTCAGAGTGACAGAACTTTGTGCACAGGAGGAGAACAGAGAACATGTCAGGGGCAGCCATTGGTTAGGAATTTATCAGCCTCTCTCAGCAAGAATGCAGGTGTGAAACAGCTCTCAGGCTAAAGCCTGATGAGAACCACCCAACTACTGGGGAAAAGAGGCAAAACACTTCAGGAACCCCCCCCCCC